ATTTTTTGTTTTATTTATCTGTTTTGTTATTTTTGTTTGCTACGCATGTTTTGTTTGGATTTAAGCTTAAATTAGAGTTTTCTTTATTTTATTTGCATGTCTATTTGTACCTCACACACTTTGGGCTCTATACCCGAGCCTGTGCGAAAAATTCTCACTGCGATTGATATCAATACCCTTTTCATTTTTTTTCAATTTTATGTGAATTTAAAATTTTTAAAATTTGAATATTAAATAATTTGACACATAAGAAATTAAATGATATATAATTAATGTTTATTTAGCATAAAATTCATATCATTAACGACTGTTAAATTTTGGATAATAAATTGTTTGTGGGACTAAAATTGCCCATTATTTAAATTTATGGACCAAAATTAACCAATTCAAATTATGAGGACCAAAATTACTCTTACACTAAATTAGGAGGACCAAAAGTGCAATTAAGCCAAAATATTATTTTTATTTTAAGGATTTGTGTTTCTCTTCTAATATTAGGATGAAAGGTATTATAAAGATGAGAATATCTAGACAATTTCTAAAAGAAGTTACCATCTAAAATGAGAGAGAAATGTGAGTATAAACATAAAAGACTAAATCACATTAAATAAATTTGAAATAATGTATATTTATTGAGTCGTGAAATATATACATGAGAGAATATCATACTATATATTAAATAAATTTATGTAATCTTCTCTGTTTCTTTATGAAGTTTTTTTTTTTGTGTATGGACGATTAAAAAGTGTTAGAATTTAAGTATGAAATGAAGTTTTATATCGATCAGAGTTAAGTATATTAAGTAATATATAAATAAAAAAGATCACTTACTTAATATCTTAAGGTTTTAAGTTATATTGATATTAAACTCATTTATATAATTTATTTACTATCAATTGTGAGAGTGGTCCCTAATTAGTGTAAAACTCCTCAACAATTTTTCCCTTCTTTTAGGTGTCACTATTAGGTTTCTTTTCTTTTCTCCTTAAGCATTAATCCATGTTGTTATATATATTGCCAATTGCTTACTAATTAACAAAACGATGCTATATAAGATGATAATGATAACGACAGAGATGCATGATGATGACTTCCCTCCTGCTTGGATAGGCATATTGAGGGTATATGTCACCTTGTAAAGTTCAGATCAATATCAACATATATAAATTATTGTATATATATGCATAAAAAAAAATTACTCTACAAAATGCTTCCAATTCAGGTATATTGTCATTCTTGAAAAGCTTCTGATTCATGCATGTTGTCATCTTTTGATCTTATTAATTATACTATAGAACACCAAATTAGTTATTGCTGCCTAATATGATCTCAAAAGCCCAGAAGATAGAGAGAATGACACAAGTTGTTTTTCTATGTACTAAACTTAGATACTCTTCTAAAGCAAACACCGTAAACTTTAGTAGACATACAATGATATTATTTGTTAACGATTGTTCCAGGAAAAAAAAAATGATCACTCATTTTTAACAACTTTCCAACAAAAAAGTTATTTTTTTTTCTTTCAAAAATAAGTGTTCAATTAATCAAACACACTTTAGAGCAAACCATCAATATTTTCACTATCCCCACTCCTTGATGTGTTAAGTAGTATAAAAACAAACAAACAAAAAACTTAAATAATCCTAAAAATATTAAAAATTATATTAAATAGTCTCTTAATATTAATAAAATTAAATAAATCAAATGGGTCCCTAAACTTTCTCGAAATACATCAGCTTACGGACTAAAATAATGGGTATTTGATATTTTGGATGATATTTACATAATTTCATTATTTTAGGGATGACTTAGGAGAGAGGGTAACATTTTGAAATGAAATTGTTGGTTTATTCACAATTTTAATTTGTAGATTCTATATAAAGCGATGTCCTTTCCTCATTATAAATATGGATCTACATGCGTGTTTACATTAAGTTGCGCTAATTAATAGATAAAAATGATACGGTATCAAATAGAAGTTATTCCCCACCAATGATTAGGCAAGAAGACAAGGTTGAGAAAAGCTCTTGTTACCAACATACCATCTAATCATTGGAGAAAATGTCTTTGCCATAGCCTCATCTGTTTCTTAATAATAATTTTTCTTTGTTGAAAAGGTTTATGGGCGATCCTATTAATGGTGGTCCATGATTTTGCAACTTTCCTTGTCCACTACATGTGTGTCGCCTTATTCATCACTTTCCACAAGATATAAAGTTATGTCATCAAAGGATCACACTTTTTGACATGATTTTTCAACTTATCTCTTTTTAAATTCCAAGAGTTTATTATACGTAATATTGATGATATAATTTCGTCACTCACTATTTAATAAGACTTTTAGGCGACTAATAATTAAACTTAATTTCACGAAATTTGTTTTTCTCATTCCAGTTGAAAATTAAATCAGCTAATTTTGTTATTAGTAAATGTGTGTTCTTTAACTCTATGTAATGGACAGAACAAACAAATAAACAAATTAAGATGGGCGTTTGGCAGAAAAAAAAAATTACAAAGAAAATTGCAGCAGCAGCATGAAATCATTTCACAATGTATTTCAACAACAACTGATCAACTGCGATTAACTAACTGCACATTCTTTTAAAATCTCATGCAACAATCCATTATTAATAAATATCTTTTTATAATAAATAAAGTGATGGAGAGAAATAAATACAAAAGTAATGTATATAAATTGTTTTACATATAATATTACCTTTTTTAGGGAGAGAGGATTGAAGTTATCAAGTACTATCTAATAACTTTAATAATGTGTAACTTTTGTCAGAGAACTTAATTATCTATTCTTAATGGAATCTCTTTTAATTCCATTTCTTTCATCTACAAAATTCAAACCAATATATTACTTAAGAGATCAATATCATTTTTACTCGAACTAATAACTTATTGATTATAACTAGTCTTGATATTTTATTAAAGTCTATTAGTTTCTTATGTAAGTAATAATTGCAGACATAGATGGAAAAAGTTGAATGGAACTATTAAGTATCTATCGAATTTGTCAATGACTAATTTTAGTCAAAAAAAAAATTTGATTGAATCATCTTTAATGAGTTCTTCCGAACTATTTTTTTCATCTACTAAATTTAAACTTAAATCTTACTTAAAGAATCAACTTCGATTTCACTCATACCAATATCTTATTGGTTATAATTAGTCTTGATATCTTATCAAAATCTATTAACTTCATATGCAAGCAATAATTAAAGCAGGTGATGGAAAATTGGAGTCACATGACTTGTTCAAAGATCGGCATAACTTGGTAGCACTTTGAGGAAGCTGATGTTACATGCCTCCACTAACTTCCCCCTCAGATTGATATATCCAAGAACGGATGTGTCTCCAAATATAATTTTAGTTTCCTCTGGACTCTTCCTACACAAAAATTACCTTACGTCCAAGGTTTTCTAATTTCACTAAAACGTTGGATATCAAGGCACATACTTTTGTTATACTTTGTTTCTTTTTTTTATTATTTTCCAAGAATCGCCATTTAAACATATACTAAAGTGTAGCATTTCTAGAATAGAAGACATCGACTTTCATTTGCCTTATTCAGATGTCTCTATGTGTGGTACTAGAGACAGTTTAACCAATCTCACACAAACCTGGTTATTAGTCACGCAAATATACATAAATGCATGCAAACAAAGATGGACAATTACAACTTTGTTACCTCTTAACTTGTCCTACAACAACCGTGCAACCCAATGCAGAGTTGTGTTGTGGGTATGACAACCATAAACAGGAAACAAAAATGTGTAACTGTGATGCACTGGAGTGGCAGGACAATGGGATATGTGAGCCATAGCAGAGTTAGTTAAAGGTAATGATGGTGATAGGTTTGGAACAACATAGCAGTGAGTGATATAGGTTACAGCTGTTGTGGCAATGGCTCAAACACTGGCCATGGTCCTATGATTTAGTAATTGCCACCACAACTAGCATTAATCCTTTATAATTACAATTCATATGCCACTAAAGAATATGGCGGCAACCTTCATCAGTGAAACAGGTTCAATTAGAAAGTAATCGGACTTTATATTTTGTAATGTCACCAATGTAATTTTTTTTTTCTTCAAAAAATGTGAGTTTTGTTAGAATCCGTTTAAGATAAAAAATAATAAACCACACATGGTAACCCTGGAATCAAGTTTTATAGTTTGTTTCTCGGATACAAAGCTCCATATTGTTATAATATTGAAAAATCTCATCTGTTCAAATTTTTTCAGAATTAAATGTTTGGATGAGCTTTTCTGCACAAACTTAAGGGTAAATGCAGCAAAGATTTCCATGGTAGAATGTTGACGTTTAATACAAAGAATGATTTATCACTCATAGGAAAGTGGCAAATATATAAAAAGTTTCTCCTGTTTGATAAAGATTAAAAAATAAAATTATCTCCCAAAAAATTTACTAAAAATGCTAATTTATGAATAAGCGAATAATTTGACCACCTTTACACCCACGGTATTTGAGTACAAAGTTAATAAAAAAAATTTCATAGTAACTAACGGTAAATATTTAAATAAGAATAAAATATTCTTTCTACCAAACACCTATAAGAACTCATTTGTTCCAATGATGTTTTAAACTTGCTTAACTTTAAGTACGAACATAAGTAACTCCATTGGAGTTACTCCTTTTATTTTTAAGGTGGAGGGGGTTTATAAATGTGTTATTGAAGGAGGAAGACATCTATACGCGTTTTACTGTAAATTTTTGGTTTGTGATGGACCTTAATGAAAATTGATCTATTTAACCTCCTACACCTAATAAAATGAGGCTTGATTTTTATTGTTGTGTAAATAAACGTATCACAAGATGTGCTGATGTAAACACCGACAAGAAAAAGAATAAAAGACACAACTCACACAAGAGTTATAAAAACCGACCATCAAGCCCCAATATGGCAATGTCAATGACCCAAACTACTAAAAGTCAGATGCATAAAGATAAAAAAGGAGCTACAGACCCAATAAAAAGGAGTCATAATGGGGCTTGTCAGCACCTTTTAATAATTAACTTGAGTTAAATGGAAGTTTCTTTCTGAAAATAAGTACTAACATTATTATACAGACTCCATCATCTAGGTTACCATGTATAATTGAGTAGATTACTCTGAGGTATTAGAATAGATTGTCAGCTAAAGTCCAGTGCTGAGAAGTATAGTTAAAAATCAAATACTGTACCATAAACACGATTCCAACACAAGATAAAAGGAAAAGTTGTGACTTTCAATTACAGAGGTGTAGTTGTTGTCTGGCTAGCAGAACTAGTGCTTCCATCCCTTTGAGTGGCCATCTTGCATGTAGGGCTCTAAAAATCCGATAAACTGAAAATAAAAATACATGGAAAAGAAGTAGGTTGAGAATTTATCTTAAATACAAGTGCTATCTGTTGCCAAGTTTGGTTAACAATGAAACCTGCAAATTTAAAAGTACAAAACTTTTCTCCACGTTGAAACCTTATTCCCAGCCATTGAATAGTGGACGAGTCTAACAGAAGTTGCATCAAACGCTTAAATTTGAACATACTGTCATACTTCAAATTATGAGACAAATAGGATAATATGTACGATGCATAAACCTGTAATGGAAGCAGATAAATTTGAACATATTGTCACACACCTTACTTCCATCTTCTGTCCAGCGTGCACCATATCCATCAGCAACCCTTATTTCAAAGACAACTCCATGTGGTGGGACAGTGTGCACATTCAGCCAACAACAATGTGCTATTAAGCGGTTTATGACATCCATTGCAAGCCTATTTTTATTAGTATCTAGAAAGAACATTAAAAAGACGGGATGAGTGAAAACATGATCAACTATCTTATTGAAAGCAACACACTATTAATAACTCACTAAACATTTCAGCAAACATAGTGAACCTAACGCAGAAAGCTTCTTCAGACAGATTCTGTTAGAGCCCAAAGTCAATATATTTTTCAGGTTTTAGATCAACCAAAGAACAAGCCCAAAACGTGGATTTTGTACTCTTGGAAGAAGGCACATCATCCACTATATAAAGGGGGCTAGAAAAATAGTTGGTTAAAAAACGAATTCTTACCGTTTCCATTCAGAGAACCCCAATAACCACTGCTACTCCTACAAGCATGCTTGGCCAATGCACGAGCTCCATGAGTCAAGCCAATATCCTGAATAATGATCATTAGTGTTAATAAAGTCCTATGGAGGCCCCAAAATATTATTATGGCAAAAACAGTGAAAAGTCCTACAAAATCTTAGCATTCATTGTCAATGTGGAGCAGATTGCTCCTAAGGTTCTTACAGTTGAATTGCATGGCAAATTAAATGATGCTAATAGAGTTGATATTGGTGGAGGAAGTGCGTTAGGATTTGTCCCTGTGGTGTGCATCAGACCAAGAAGGCTTTGAACACCCTCATAACTTAATCCCTAGAAAAAAAAAAAAAAAAA